CTGCGGATCTGGTTCGTAAGTCGAGGCAAATTCGTAAGTAGAGGTAAATTTTTGGTGCCGGAGCTGGTCGTATCTCGAAATTTTCGTATGTAGGGGCGTTTGTATGTAGAGGTACCACTGTAGTACAGTATCTACATGAATTCAGCAACCAGCAGATATCACTTAACCTCACTGCCCAACTGACCTAATTTACCGTATTTTTACCATGATTCCTGAAATGTAAAAGTATTTTTAGTACTCAAAAATGCATATAAATGCTATTTTTTATTTTACTGAATACCAAGTCAAGTCTGAGTGTCTGGAACCAGACTGTCTTGTTCTACCTAGAAACAGCAAAACAAAAAGGGGAGGGAAATAATTTAATCTTTAAGACAGTGCCACTTCTTCCCCAAATTTCAGCTAATCTCTGTGTGCATAGTTCATTCAGGACATTCGTAGGAAGGGTCAAAATGGCAGTCATGATGGTGAGATCAAAGCATACCCCACAATGCACATACAGTAAAAAGGGGCTTTGGTTACACAGTTGTGACTGTAATCTTGACTTTTTTTACTCTTCCTGCAGACACACCTGGCCTCAGTCCTCACAGCGGACAGTTGACCAAAGAGAGAGAAATAGCATGGGAAACTACTCCAATTGACTTTGGAGAAGGTTTCCAGAAGCTGCTAAGACATGAGATGCAGAAGAAGCATGCATTATGTCCAAGGGGGCAGGCAAGTATTAGACAGAGACTGAGACTGGCTCCCCCTGACTCCATGGGGTCAGTTTCCTTGTCTGGTCTACCCTGCAGGTCTGACAAGTAGTAACTAAGAAGAAGCCAAGAGGTTAGCCCCGCCCTATATTATTGTCTGTCACTGCCTGCTATGTGATTAGCTGAGCATTTCTCTTGGTGATCCTTTGCCAACTCCATAGTTTCCATGGGTCTTTTCTGGCCAATGGGGATCAAGACGGTAGGTTAGAGACATCCATATCACTTTCTCTGAACTGTACTGAGAAGAGCGGAAGTCCCTTCTGCCAACAGTTAGATGGACATGAGGAAAGATCCTAAAAATATGTTCAAATCAGATGTTAAGAAGCTAGAATTAGCTTCGAGGGTCATGGAAACTTAGTAAAAGTTGTATAGAACTGGAAATGATGAAAAGAATGTTGGTCGCAGAAAACCTGGGTTTCCAGCCAAAAGTAATTGAAATCGGAATGTTGAGGTTTGTTTCACACTCTGGGAAGATTTTTGTATTTCACAAACTTGCTGACGCTTAGCATATTGCTGAATAAGTAATATTTTGTGCACGAGCAAGAAATCGGATGTGCTTGATCGCGCCGTCAGAAACGTGCGTAAAAATAGAACGACGACGACCGAGCGTCCTTCTCCTTTTATGCTGTCTTGTCTTTTGGAGCAATTGTTTGTTACCACCGGCGAAGCAACAGCCAACTTCAAAGGGAGAATCTGAGCATGCTCCCTGTTATCCATCGCCGAACCTATTTTTCATCACCGCACTTTTGTCGCCTACGCTTCACCATACCTTGCAACTTTTCTCTCCGCCAGCGTTAATCGTGCTTCGGTGTAAAATAGCAAATGCCCGAACCCAGGACCATTCCGCCCCTTCTCTTTTTATTTACGTTTGTTTCACGTCCGTCTGCAAGAAGAAAGGACCCCAAGTAAGGGCAAAAAGGTGCAGGGCTTCAAAATCTACCACGGCGCATGCTCGGTCCTATCTGGCCGTGAAACTTGATGGGGAGCCGTTTGTGAGCCGAGCCAGGGATAGGTACGGCGCAAAAACAACCTTGGACGCTTGGAAATACGTTGGAAGCGTGTGGCTTTGTCGCGCTGCTGGTAAGGGCTTGGTTTGCTTCAGCGACGTGGGGCTCAAGCCGGTATCACGCGCCTGGTCTGGTGTTCTGGTGGGGGAGGGAATTGGGTGCCAACGCACAGGCGCGCGCGCCATGGTGGCGACTGGGGAAAGAGCTGTGCGACATCGGGAGGATTCCCAGTTGAAGTACGTACGGGGGGAAATTGCGGCCCGGGTAAATACGGTTTGTTGGTGATTGTGAAGCCAGTCGGTTTGGCATTTAATACAAATAAAATGGCTGTGTGCTGGTGTGGAAAGTCTAAAACATCCCGGCGCTTTGGGCTTGCGTGGCAAAGCACCCTTAAGGATAATCCCCAGTGAATGCCAGAAGAGTGACTTCTGACTCATCGTGGAAATGATCGCTGTGTTGGTTGACGAGAAGAGGCGTCGAAGGCGACATCAACTGCCATTTTCCCCCTAAGATAATTTAATTCTTCAGGCCCTGGCTTGGCTTTGGAAATGGCCTCTTGTGTTTGATTCCTCGGCTCCCGTTCCTTGAGTTTCCTCTCCAGGAGTCCCATCTTGCATTGTTTACTTGCAATGCAAATTGCTTACTCGGCTTTAGGCCTTAAAGAGGGGTTGTCGTCTGAAGATTTTTGTACCAAGGAAAAGTCTTAATTCAGTGGGGAGTTTTTAAGACTAAAAACTATACAGATCTAATTTTAGTTACCATTTTATTTAGACACCTGCTGGCCTCCAGTAGGCTTTGGGATAGGAGTTCACCATTCATACAGCCTGCCTTCCTTCCTTCTCTCTTTTCTACTGGGGATGATTCCCTAAACCTAAAATTATTCCATAATTATTACAGACCACTGGGGAGTGCTAGGTTTGCAGTTTGGATGGATGGAACTATAGTGGAGTTGTAGTGATTATGGCATTATTGCCTTTCACTACTTAAAATATGTAGTTAGGAAGATTATTCTGTCAAGAGTCATCTACCTAAGTAGACTGGGGGGGGGGAGGCTCTTATCATTTGGCTTCCTCAATTACTCTGAGGCCTTTGTGTCCCCTTGTTTGTTCCAAATATGATCTTGATTTTTATTGTTTTAAATCCTGTATTAACTTCTCTGTTCTTTTTATAGTTAAGGCATGTTTTGAAATGACCTTTCATTCAGAGGTGATCACTTCACTGTACTTCCCTTGTTTCTGTGAGCCAGTGTTAGCTCCCCTGGAGGGGGGGGGGAAACAGAAGAATTGAAAAATTGCCCTCACCATCACAAGGTAGCAGGTGATAATTGTTTCCTGTTCACTTAGTTCTGAACCTCTTTACTTTAGCTGCACTTAGTTACTCCAAACATCAATATGGACAATCATTTTTTCCTGGTAGTTGATGGGTGAAAAGAGAAAAGGGTTCAGGAAGGAAAAAGAGCTCCTCCAATACCAGAATTGTCATCCTGCCTCCTCAATTATAAAGGGAAGATGGGTTATGTGATGACTGGATAATACATATCACCACCACCACCCATACACACATACACACACACACAATTCCCCAGTGCATAGATAATGTAGGTTGTTTGAAACCTGTAGTCTGGGTGAATATTGGGAATTAGGGTCATTCCACAAACTTAATCTTCATTTAAAGATGATGTTCTAAGGCTGAGCTTCAGCAGGTGGCAGCATGATAACAACGTTTAGTTTAGTTTAGTTTAGTTTAGTGTAGATTAGATTAGATTAGATTAGATTAGATTAGATTAGATTAGATTAGATTAGATTAGATTAGCAGTTGGAGGCCACCCAGTTCTGATGATTCTGGGCAGCTTACAATTTAAAAATTGAGAACAATCTCAAAAAAGAAAAGTAAAATCATAAGCAGCCTTAAGACGGACATATAAACAAAATCCCATTCAACAGGGATTCTATCATCAACCTATCCCAAGGCCTGGGAGAATAGCCAGGTCTTCAGTAGCTTCCTTAGCATCATCAGGGTGAGAGCTGTTTAGATCTCCAAATCCAAATCTTGCTTCAGTTTGGAAGCAAAGTAGTGTTCAGCATGCTCAGTACTGAGATGAGCCCCATCTAGGAAATATCAGGGCTGTAGACTAGACTGGAAAGTCAGAAAGCATCTTGGAAGAAGGCAATGGCAAACCAATTCTATATTGTTGTGAACAAAACTACATGTATGTGTCCATGAAGTTGACCTTGATTTGAAGTAGACTTTTAGTATAAGACTAATGTTGCCATCTGTCCTATTCTTCTTTTCCCTTTTTTCTAATTAGTATGCAGTTGGCTACAATGTTCTGAGACTTCTAGAGCATAAAAAGCTTCCTTATCAGTCTTCAGTGATAGGGGCTTAGACATCACAGTCAACTGTAATGTGGTTAGTTTGGTTTTGATTAGCATGTTGTGCAAATCTAGCAGTTTTCTGGGTTCACACCTTGTTATGCCATAAAGTGATTTGTTTGTTTTTTGTTGACAATGTTGTGTGAACCCAACTATAGTGGTTTGTTCATCATGGTTTATGGCAAATGGTTAAGTGAACCAAAGCTTGGCACAGAGTGTGAACCAAATGATGACAGTAGTTTATTTAGTAAAATATAGTTAAAGAAATTATGTCTTAGCCTGACATAACCGTTCCTTCTGTAGTGTCCTTAAAAAAATTAACTTGCCTGTAGAACTCCTTGAATGTTTTATTTTATTCTCCTGTGAACGGCCACTAGACAGGCAAATTTACTGTTAAAATAGATCCATAGAATGTGAAGTACAGACTAATTCTTTCCATGTTTACTCAGAAGAAAGTTCTGCTAGATTTAGTGTGCATGGGACTTTAAGCTACTTATTTTGTAAAACCAAACTGTTACATAGGTGGTAATTGATACTGGTATAATTTGAAATAGGCCTGGTGAAAATATGGGAGAGTACCATGGTATAGGCCATAATAGATATGAATATTTGCTCTATAAACTCCAACCTTATATGCACTTAGTTCAGAGGGACATAGGTTTGAGTCTGTGATGGAATGGAATTATGAAGGCCAGGCTCAGAGAG